AACCAGTGTCAGACTTGGGTACCTAAAAGAATTTGTCATGGATTGTAGTACTGTCTAGAGGACTGTCGGGAAGATGTAAACTTAACTTATATCTTAACTAATCGAAGTAATGATCACATCTATTTTTTCTTGTAAGTCAAAAAACCAAAGTATAACAATACATCCAGACAAGAACTGAACAGTAGTATGCTTCCAGTGAAAACTCACTGAGTCATATTTCACTCAGTTAATAGCTGTTTTTTTGGACTGAATATGACTTTTGAGATTAGTGTAGATAAACTTCAAAGCTTAGATGTTTTAAATGCCAGATGACAAATATATTTCATGTCCTGAAGCTGCTTTTCAGAGTGAGTAAATTCCTTTTCAAATTAAAGCTAGGGAAACAAGTGTTTATAATATTTTAAAATCCAGACTGCTTTGATTTTTCTGCAGTGCTGCATATCTGAACTACATGTTTGGACCTGTTATCTCAGAGAGTACAGTCTTCCACTGTGCTTTACAGGCAGCATAGTACTAAATGAACAGAAAATGGGGAAACAGACCCGTTCAAACAAGAACTTCAATATTTTCCTTGCTCTTCAGTGTTGAACTTAGAAATGAAAGGTAATTATACAGCAGGTATGAGAGAAATCTGTCTTTGCAAATGAATTCATTTGTCGGTTATTTAACTTTGTTGCTCTTTCCTATGTTCTCATACAGAATGCTCTCCCATAAATTAAACATATCTAGCCTGGGCTATCTGGCATATTCCATAGTCTAAAGCCCAGAAGCTGTTTTCATTCAGGCTGGAATTCCCCCCTCTGCCATCAGAGCAATGTGCAAACCACTCCACTCCATTCTCTGTTACTCTCCAGGAGCAGGGAAGGCTAAGTAAGGTCTCCCACAATTCACTGTGAAGGAGCACAGACACCTCGCATTAAGTAAGGGTCCATTCACCGCACAGTTAATTGCAGCAAAGAGCTACCCTCTATACTGGTCTGTAATGTTTTAGAAAAGAAAGTAGTACACTTGCGTTATGACTGTAAGATGCAGCTAGACCCCACATCTCCTCCTTGCCTTTCTGTGGCCCCTAACATCAGCTGTGTTTAAAATACAGGAACCAGTGATGCACCCTCACCAGCTGTCTTATACACAGAGCTTTACTGACAGATCATCTTCATCTGGGTGGAATCACTGCACACACCTGCATACCCAAAAGGAAGCAGTTGCTTCATTTGAGGCAAAGACATGTGGAGAGAGTTGCTGATGTGTGAAATGCGTGTCATGGTGCTAGAGAGCCCGCTGCTGGTATTTTACCCTCTGCAATCTGCACCTGCACACTGCAAAAAAACGGGGAAGCATAGCACTGTACATGCAGTGAGTGTTAACTGAAGCATCACCATTTTCTAAACAGAAAGCCTTTATGATTTTAATTTTGGTATTACATCTGTAAACAATATTAAAACTGCCAAAAGCATAGCGCTGCAGGCTTACATCTCACACAGGCAACACCTTATTGCTGTGATTTCTACTACACTTTAGTCAGAAAAGCTAGTATTGGTATTCATGTGGTCTGAATAGGTCCTAAGTCACATCTGTGTGCATAGTTGGCGACAAGATAGGGAACAGGATTATTCATGTAGATAACACAGCATACCACAGGATTCTATATTGTGAATGACTGACTGTCTTTGTTCCAAGCCACTTCCAACAGGTAAACAATGGGGATGCTAAGTTTACACAGAACACAGGTGACAGAGACCAAAAGACACTTCAAGTAGGGAGGATTTAAAAGGCCTGGCTTCAGTGTCTGCTTTTTCCAGAAAGCACCTGAAAAGCTGTGCAAATGTGTAGTGATGTCTGTCAGTCAAATTTACCTGAAAACCTAGATTTTCATAAAATGCATAGCTACTAAATCTCAAGCAAATGGAAACACCTCCATTGCTTTAAAAAAACAGACAAAAACCCAAGGACTGAGCTGCATCCAGGTGCTAATGTTTGGAAGCATAAATGTGAAATTGACTAGAAAAATAATGCAAAATAGCTAGAGTTGTTTGGATTATCAGAGGACTGCAATTACTCTACTTTTCCTAAGTGATGAAAATTTTAAGTGACTTTAAGTCCAAATATTTATGACCAAGGTTTGTCAATTTCACTGGCCTATAAGCAGCTGCACATCTTTCTTAATGAGGTGGTTTGTCATATCCAGCTTTAATGGAGCTGAGAAATTGTCTTTTCAGCCCT